TTTTTTTTTTTTTTTTTTTTTTTTTTTTTTAAAAGTTCCTTTTGATGTCCAATATGCTCCTGATGCTAGGCAACTTCTTTCCCCTGCCACAGAAAGGCTGTCTCATGAAAGGCATGAGCCTTGCATTGCCACAGAGTCTACTGATTGATCCGCAAAAGAAGCATGAGGTTTCTCTGGGGTTTTTTTAGATGAAAATTTGAAAGACTTTTCTGTAAAACTTCCTGAAATGAGACAAACTTTGAGAAAGATGAAGTTCCAATTTGTCATCTGGCTGGTTGGCATGCACTGAAGCTAGAGTAGAACTCACTTTCATAGTGCATTAGAGAATAATACATATTCCTTGCCCTGAAGTGCTTATGACCTAAATAAAATAAAACATGGGGCAGCATTTCAGGTAAAGGAAGATGTGGAATTATCCGGAGTGACAACAAGAAAGAAAGAAGTTGGCTTTAAGGAAAGACTTGGTTGGTTCTTGGTGGAAAGGTATTTTGATACTGTGATGATGGCATGGAATAAAAGTTATACTCTCTTTATTATCCTAAACTTCCTCTCCCACCTTGGTGTATTTCACCCATCAAATATTTGTCGACTCCTTTGTCCTCTTCCCTTTAGTCATCAGCTGTGTGTTACAGGACATAGTATTCACAAGACTTCTTTTAAGAAGAAACATGGAAAGCGCTCTCACTCTAAGGGAAAAAGAATGTCAACACTCAATTCCTTTGTTGTTCTATAGAATGAGATTCAAGCCAGTGACAGTGAAATCAAGAGTTACAAATCTGAGCAGAAGGAGAATGTGCCACCAAGTCCTGAGGACTCCGTTTCCCATCAGGATGGGGATAAGGTAAGATGTGTTCATATTGATTGAGGATCAAGAACTCTCCTTGAAATGGAACTGCTTGAAAATACACAACAGGCATTTGGAAATTGAGCTGTATTGGCTGATACAAATTATCTGCATCCTGTGTGACTCATGATTTTGAGATCAAAATTTAGGATGGTAATTACAAACCGGCAAGAGAAATTTTAATTTGTAAGACTCTCTAAATAAAAAGTCCTTTGTGTGCAGAATATCTAGCTATTTTTTTATAACTTTATCTAGAGAGGGTTGCGCTTGAATCTGTCAAATATAGTAAATGTTCTTGATGTGGCAGAATCCTTGAATTTCATAATGGTGGCATATTGAGAACATGGGAGGAAGAAGCATTATCTAATAGCAGTAGCAGCAGCAGACTGGAAGTGGAGCCTCCTGAGTCTTATTTCTGACTCTGCCATTCCTGAGTGACCTTTGGGCAAGCCACTATACTCTCCTGTGCCATTTTCCCCATCTGTAAAATGGGGAAAACACCTTTTAGGTGCTTTGCTTGCACACTTAAATTTCTGGTAAAGTGCTTGGGGAGCCTCAGATGAGAGAAGATGTCAGTGCAAAGTACCGGGTCACAATGACTTGAAAGTGGGTCACTGCTGCAAAGTTGCCAGATCTTGGTTAATGTAACTGGCAACCTGATTAGCTTTTTTGTTCCTGCTGTTTAAACTTAGTTTTAAAATGAGTACTTTATTGTGTGAATAAGGGGACAGTAATTATATAAACTCTCAAGGCATCTGTGACTTAAATGGGGGGATGGTAGAAGGGAATAAAAGTAGCCAAACAATAATAATTCAAATACAGTGCATTACAGGCTTTCTGAACACGTGGCAGCCTAATGCTGGGAGGGCTTTTAAACCTTTCCGGACTTCCCTCAGCAGGCAGCCAGACTGTTGCTTTCAGCTTCTTGCTGGGAACTGAGCGAGTCTTCACATTTTAGCTTGTTGTGGGGTGAGAAAGCAGCCATCAAGGGGAGCCTCTTAAAAGGAAACCTATTAAATAAAAGCAGTTTCTCTCTATTAGACTTTCTGCTGTTGAACGGAAGGTTTGAATAAAACCCTCTCTCTGCTAGCTCTTAGAGTGAAGTTACTTTAATTTATAGGCATTCCTTTAGTGACTGACTTGATGTGTAATAGGAGCACAGTGTAAGAACCTACATCAAATAGACTGTTGTGTGGTAGTAGGATGGTCACTTTGACATCACTGCAGGATAAATCTAGTGTCCCTGTCCAGGGCACACCTATTAAATGGCAGAAATTTCTGGAGAAAGAGAGAGGTTCAACAGAACCTTGCTTACTTGTACACTCATAATTCAAGTGCAAAAAACCACTGCTCCCCTCATCCTGTACATCCCAAAGTTTCAGTAACAGAGTGGTTAAAAATTATCTTTGTTATGGGTACAAAGTAAACTGTGGAATGCTTATTAGGAAGTATCATTAAAATTAAACTAGTCAAATGAACAAAGTATGTTATCCGAACTTGTTTGTTTACTTCCTCATTAATTTCCAAAGTGCAATCCTTTGCAATGGGTCTTTCAGTCATTAGTGTGAATTAGTGAGGTTCTGCTGTTAATCTCATTATGGCATTTTAATTCCTCAATGTGTAAGTATATTTAAGCTATATTTTATTTAACCGAGAGAGAGAACCAGGTTAAAATAGCCCTCTAGAACCTGCATTGAGCTGTTCACCTGGTATGTAAATTATTCCGTATCTGAACCAAGCTTGTACTAGGCTGCGTCAACAGTTCTGTTAATGAAAGACTCTTGTACTTCAGAGTATGTATGTGTGTGAGCTGAGCAGAAGGTATAAACCAGTGAAATTTGTAAATCCTTTTCTAAAGAAGGATGTAGAAGACAGACCAAGCAAGTTTGTTCTAAACTGGGAGCATCACAGCTTGTAGTTTTAGGGGCAAACTTCCAAAATCAACAGTCACTTAGGCTCCTATGTATCCTTGACTACTCAAAAAGTGGCAGTGAGGGAGGTCCTGAGGAAGGTGAGAAATTCAGAACATATGTTTTGTAGCCAGTGCTAGCATCGTTGAAGTTCTTAGCTTAGGGTGGACACTGGCTAGTAAACAGGATTTTCTGTTTTATTGTTCTATTAATTGCCCATTATTTTGCTACTCATGCCGGGATTATCCATTTATAAATTTGAGTCTGTTAACGGGTGAGCCCAGCTGACTTTCATATGGTTCACAGTATAACATTACTTTTGCAGGTTTTCTTCAGGGAGAAGAGTCTGGGTTTCCACTCCAATCTTTCTGAAGATAGCACCAGTAAGCACTCATTCTCCTGGCCCAATAAATATAGAGTGGGCAGGTGGATGGCAGGATGTGTTGGCACTGTCTACTTGTATGCCATGCTTATGTCAAGATGAGTTTGCCCTTAGAACCCAAAGCTTCTGGAGGAAACATCAGGCTTCCCATTTAATCACAGGGATATGCTGGTCAAGACTGGATTTCATTTAACTTTATGAAGCAATCTGAGCATAAGAACTTGGATCCTAACACACATAATGGAAGTCCACTCACATTATCTAGGCGCCTTCTTGTAGTTTTGTAGCACATATGAAAGCCAGTTGTTTGGTGAAAGTGGACATTTGTTCATAGGCCTGTAATGGTCAGCCTTGTCTTATAAACTCCCATTTCCAGTGGTTTAGAAATTGGCTTTAGAATTTGCTGATTATGAAACTTGTCATATGATAGCCCAGAAGGAGAAGATCTTATTCATAAAATTTGAATAAAATTGGGACTCTGTGTTTTTTTTTTTTAAATGATTTTAAAGATTGTTACTTTTGAATATAGTAGTCTTAATTCAACACTTGCAACCCCTTCAGATTCTTGGGATTTTTCCAGTAAAAATCTTGTGCTCAAACCTCAGCCCAGCTCAAGACCTGGGAATTTTTATCAGGTTTATAAATTGTTTTTTAACTGTAGTACTGAGACAGCTTTAATGCTTGCTTGATAAAGGCTTTATGTTTAACCCCAGCAGTGCAATTCTCCCGCCATTTGGACTTAGTGTTCCAGAGCCAAATACAGCAAGCACTGTAGCCAACAGATTAGTCAATAAATATATTAGCAGTAGCTGATTGACTAAAGTGCCTTCCAAAGGTATTTAAGCACATGTTTATAGCCCATTGACTTCAAGCTTAACTTTAGGCATGTGCTTAACCATTTTATTAAACGAGCCATATTTCCCAGAAACGAGGTTAGTGCATACTGAGAAGCTGGCAGCTATCTCATTCCCTCAACACAGCCTCTCAATCATTTGATAATTTCAGTGCAGAAAAAGATGAGTAAATATATTTGCTTGCCCTGGCACTGATGCTTTAGTCATACACGTTTAGGAACAGACAGACCTTTAAGCCTTTTTCTGACATAATTGCTACATGGTCTTACCAGACTGAACTTCCTAGGAGTTTCTCGTGGCTTTTAAAAATGAGTTTAACAGAACTTTCCTTCCCCTCCCTTCCCCAGTTGAACTGAACTCGCAGAGTGAGACTGAAGCCAAGAGACGTCTCTACACAAAACAGCAGAGCTCTGATTCCAAACCAGCCAACCAGACTGACACCTCTCCACCAAAAGTAGTGAAGGTACAGTAGCTATTTATTTCCTAAGCACTAGCAACAGTTAATACTTAAGCAAATCTGATTGTAACATAGACTCAATCCAGCCTATGAATCTGTGTTTGCACTCCCAGGGGATCTTATGCTATTGATCCATCAATATCCAAACTCTCTTCAGCAGAGAGCTCTTTACCATAGGGCAAAGCTGGAGTTTCTTTATTTTGACATCTTTTAAAAAAACTTCATGTTGGAACGAACTCCTGACAGAAAAGAGACTGGATATAAAGGAACTTTGTCCAATGCTCAGCATAGGGTTTTGAGTTCTGAATGGAAAAGCATCTCAACACAATTGTAATTTAGTTTTTTAAAGATGGAGTTTGTGAGCTGCCTGCTGACAGCTGACATATTGTTAAAGGGGCCCTGTTCCAGTGGCAGTATGGGAATACTAATTTGCTTCTGGGATGGGAGGAGAAGTTTTGAGTACAGAAATCTGGATGTAGGTCTTGCATTGACAAGCTCTTGGCTTTCCTTAAGTCAGAGTTCCTAGAGATTTTCATCTAGGTCCTGATGCTAAACTTTAAAACCCACCCTGGGGCCTCGCTGTCTGCCTTCCTCCTCACCTCAACCATGATAGCAGCTGCAATCAAGAAGGTATTCATAGCTGAGGGGCTCAGTGTATAACTCCCAGGAGCTGGAGTCCTGGCATTCTCAGAGGCAAGCCCTTAGATGTGAAATTCCCTTCCACTGGAGATCAGGATGAGTCCCAGTTTTATCATCTTTAGAGCCCAGTATGCTGCTCCTCTCTTTACCCAAGCCTTCCTTCAGTAGTGATGGCTGTAGACCTGCTCCTGACTTCCTTGGATATAAACAGGCAAGAACAACCCCAATATAACTGTAGCTGAGGAAGCGATGGGGAATTTTTGGACAGGGATTTATTTTCTCACTTTGAGGCACACAGATGTTATGTGATGAGCACTTTAATGATATCTCAATAACGTGATGTGAGGTGCATCCTCTTCACACATGCTGTCTGAAATAGGAAGTCTTATCCCTGCTCTGCCACAGACTTCCTATGTTACTCTTGGGCACATCACTTCACCACTCTGCATTTTCCCCCCTTCTGTAAAAGAGGGACAGGTATAGTATTTATTTTATTTAAGAAGATAGCAAGATTTAATTAATATCACAGTGCTGTGAGCACCTCTTCTGAAAGGTGCTGTATGTGCAAAATTTGAGATGGCAAAAATGCCTTTAGGATTGTATAACTTGGAAGGTATTCCAGTGTGTGTGCATATGTAATCTGCTTATCCTTTAAGTTTATGGTTCTTTGTGCTTATTTCAAAAGAATCTGTTCACATGATAAAACCCAACTTGGATCTCTACCTTCATTAATAGTTGTTGCTGCAGTTTTTAGAGAACAGCCCAGATGCTGTTGATTTCATGTAAGGTTCCTATTTCTCTTCCAGCTTCTGTTTCCTGTTCCTGGTTCCTAATCTCTACTCCTGCCTTCTGCTTCCCTTCTAATGTGAGCTCAACTCTTGGCTATCTCTCCAGCTCTCCTTTTTTTATTAACTGGGCTTCACCCTCCTCTTGTAGTAGCTATGTATAGTAATGCCCAGAAAGGACATTTTTCTCTATTCACCCCAAAAAACCACCTCTTCAGCAGACCAACAGGGGTCACTGTATACCCATGTAAGTTCCTCCTCTTAGATGGGGACGTGTATTGCAATAACATATGCTAGCACTATGCAGTGCAGCCTTGCAGTTATGCTGTGTTGGGAAGAAGGGCAACTTTTATTGGTAAGGAAGTTAGTAAAGGCTTGTTCCTTTTTGTGGCAAGGGTGGGTGAGTAGATTTTCGTCTGGGCTAGTAAACTTCAATGGTGTGTTCTAGAGCTTGCAGTGACTCACTTACACAGAGGTGAGAACATTGGTGCAAAGGGTCAGTGCCTTGAAGTTCCCTTTTAAAAATAAATAAATCTCTTGAGGCTCTGGGAGTTTTTTTGAGGTTTTCTATCAAATTCTCAGTATGGATTAGTCCCTTAGTGTCATTTCAAATACCTAATATCAAAGTTTATTTTTAAAGTTCCCAATCTAAGTGCATTAGACTAGAAATAATATATAGCAAACTGCCTAATTATGTGCAACAATAAAGTTGTGACAAACCATTTAAATCAACTGGCTTTGTTCAGCAACCTGATCCTCATCTATCATAACCTTCAGTTCTTAACCATGTCATCATTTTATTTAAAATGCAAACTAGACACCAATCCCTGTAACTGTCTCCTGTGATGTTGCACTTCCTGCTTCCATATCCCTTAACCATCATATCCTTCTCTTAAAGGCTTTTAGTAAACTTGTAGTAGAACATGCCTTTGCAACAAAGTTGACCATATCTAAGTGTGATTTTCTGTACCCCTTTGACACTGGACCTAGGTAACTTTCTATTCTGTTGCTAGAAAAGCTGTTGCAATCAGGTCAGTCCAGAAGGGCCAGCTTTTTGACTGGATATTCAATATGCCATTTCCTCTTTATTAAGCTTCCATGTTAAGTCGCCTCTAGTAGGTGTGTTAAGGAGTGAGGAGCATCAGGTGACCTCTTTGGACATAGAATATCACCTCCTTGATGCTGTCAGGAGACACATTCTGAGGTTATTCCCAAGTAGCACAATGCTGACACTTGATACTTACTAGTTTATCCTTAAGATATTTCTTAACTTTTATGGGATGTTGCCTCTGATGGAGTACACGCACTGTTACTAGTCTGTCAACATCAGGGTTAACTTTAGTTATCTGTTGTGTAACTTTAATTTTAGTGAAACTGCAAATCCCTAAAAGCTGAGTGTAGCTAGTGCCTTTGCTGGAGCTCTGAAATTTTTCATATGGGGATAGATACATTTCTTGCTGCCCTGAACTACTGAGACTAACTTTTTAAAAGCAGGCTGTAGGAATAAATTACTGGTTTAATCAGAGTTTGTATGGAAAGTTGCCTAAATGAGCCGCCTTCATTCCTAAAGCCATAAGCATTTAGTAAAACGTACTCAGCCTAAACCTTTGAGCAAACTGTTCCCCTCCTGTCGTCCTCTTCTCTCCCCCCGCCCCATGTTTGTTTGGCCTTCTCATTACTTGTTCCCCACCACTGAGCTTCTTGTATTGCTGTTCATCTCACTGGTTTTTTTGTTTGTTTGTTTTTTTTAAACTTATCCCCTCATGTATTTTCCCCACTTCCTCATCTTTCCCTATCAGCAGGTTTGAGGCAGAGAGGCTAGGACATGCAAGGTATTAAACACCTGTGGCTGGCCTATGTCAGCTGACTCTAGCTTGCAGGGCTCAGCCTGCAGAGCTGTAAAATTTCCGTGTAGGCATTTGGCCTCAAGCAGGAACCTGAATGTCGACACTAAAAACGTACAGCCCTTGAGCCCAAGTCGGCTGACACAGGCCAGTTGCAGGTGTTCAGTTTCAGTGTAGATTTACTCAGTCTCTTGGGAATGGCTTGATAGAACTTACTTTATGACCCATGTGAGAATTGTAACACTTCCACTGTCAATTTTTGACTATTGTTTTACCTCAGAGGTTTAGGTGATAGGAGAGAAGAGAGGGAGAATGCAGGATAGGCTCTTGCTATCAAACCAAGGCAATGAGCCTGTAATAGGTCTGCTTTACTCAATTAGGGTACAGGGTACAAGTAGGGTTCAGAGCTGCTAATTATTAACTATTAAGTAAGTTGCTTCTGAGAACTCTGGAAGTCTTGGACAAAACCCAAGTCAAGTCTCCTCACCCACTAGTTCTTATCCAGTTAACAAGCCCTCTTTTCTTCCCTTAGAAGTTTCAGTTGCCAGTGAAGGAAACCTGTGTTGCGTGTCAGAAGACAGTGT